TCCCACCTGCTGGAAGGTGGTGCTGGGGAATGACTCAGCCACCCTCACGCTGCAAGAAAATAAGACTGTATGTATCCAGCTTGTTGTTTCTCCAAAATCTACTGAGAACACAAGGATGGTAAAAAAAAAAAAACAAAAAAAAAAAACAACAAGAAAAAAGCCTATGAAATATTTTTATTCTCAGTGTGTGGCTTCTTTTGTTCACGAGTTCATCCAGAGCATTACCCCATGTGAGTCTGACACGTCTAGCATTGCTCCACTTCTGGGTCTAGCTTCAAATAGTGGTGCGACCTGGAACTGGACAAAATCAAGCCCTGAGTTTTCAACCCTGGCTGAGCATTAGAATCCCTGGGGGAGTTAAAAAACACCTGATATCTGGGTCTCCCCCAAGCCAATGGAATCAAACTCTCTGGAGTGGGGCCCAGGCATCTGTTGTTGGTTTTTTTTAACATCCCCAGGTGATCCTGCATTCAATCAGCAATGAGAACCAAACTCCCTTTTTATACAGAAGAGGAAACTGAGGCCCAGAAGGAGCCATGATTTGCCAAAGACCAAATGTTAAAGAAGGGAGGAGCCAAGTGTCCTGGTTTCTAGTCCAGAGCTCATCAAAGGCTCTGCAGGTGCCTTTGGGGCCACCCACAAGGAGCTGGCAACAGGCCCTGAGAACCCCTGGGTGCATGGTACACTCAGAGATGACTCGTCACCTGCTCTCCTCAGTCTGAACTAGGGAATGCTTGGTGGGGTGGCAGGAGGGAGGGAGCATCTCCTGCTTCCTGTCAGCTCCAACCTCAAGATCCCAGTGGCCTCCTGAGCGGTCAGGACTCACCCTGGCCTCCCCAGCCCTGAGGGGAACTATCCACCACTCTCACCTCCACCCCACTGTTTTCCCACCTTCACCAGGTGGTTGAGTTGCCAGATAAAATATTGGCTACCCAGTTAAAGTTGGATTTCAGATAAACTACGAATAGCTTTTAGTATAAGCATGTCCCATGCAATACACATATGTTTCTTTGCTGAATCTGGCAATCTTATCTAAAAGCGCAAAGTGACTGACCTCACTGAGCCCCCTGGAAAGGGAAGGCGAGCAGCTGGCCCAGACTGCGCAAGCCCTGCCGTCAGCCAGGGTTCTTTCCCCAACACCATTCGGCACAGAGAAATTACTGTATTTTCCTTTAAGAAAGAGTTATAATTGGGGTAAAATATAACTAAAAGAAATGTGTGCTTGATTATCTTGTTCATTTGTCCGGGTCAGTAGACGCATAATTGTTTGGACCATGAGTTGGAGATTTGTGAAATGCCTCCGTGTGCCAGGAGGGAAGACCCTCCCCGCAGACAGTGGGTCTCACACCCAGCTGGAGGCCAGCAGCCTAATGTAGCCTCGCACCTGCCCAGTGAGAACACAGGGCTGGGGCCGGCGTCACAGGCAGTTACCCAGCCTTGAAGGATCTGGTCAAGATTATTCTTAAACCAAATGCTTTTGGGAATCTAACCAAATCAATTGGAAAGGGAGTCTGTTCCTTTGGCAAACCTGCTGAACTACCTTCCAACACCTTGGAACTGAAGTGATTCGAGCTTCAGGAAGCGTGTTTTTTTTTTAAAGGTCATCACTAGCGATGAGCGAGAAGCGTGCTTTCTTATCTGAAGCTGGCACCTGGCTCTTTCCTTTACTCAAACCTGCTCCTGCCTTTGGTTAGTGGCCTCACTGCCCTCCCTGCCACCCAGGTAGAAACCTAAGATTCACTTCAGGCTTCTTCCTTCCCTAATCT